GAGCTCAGGACCTTGCACTTGCCAGGCAGGCTCGGGACCACTGAGCTATATCCCTGGCCCCCAAAAAAGTTTTGAAGAAAGCTAAGAATGTAGCTTAATGTAAAGGCTCTGGGTTCAATCCCTAGTACCACAAAAAATAAAAATAAAGTTCTGTAAGAGTAACATCCTTAAAAGTAGAATGTGGCCAGGGATTTAACTCAGTGGTTCTGCTGCCTGCCTCACAAGCACAAGGACCTAAGTTCGCTCCCTGGTACCAAAAAAAAAAAAAAAAGTAGAATATGCTCAAAACTTAGAATAAATTAAATAAATGCATGGATCAAGGGAATGTCCAACTGGACATTGAGCCACCAGAACTCAAAGGGGCCTGGTTTCTTCCTTGAGACAGATCTATGCTTCTCAGGTATTTGGGGAAGACATAATTTATGCCTCCCAGTCCATAAACCTTGAAAATCTCTGCTATATTCTGAATATTGGTGCCCCCCCCCAAAAAAATTGTACATTGGAACCTAATACCTAATGTGATAGTATTAAGAGTATGGGGCAGGGAATTTAGCTCAGTGGCACCACGCCTGCCTTGCAAGGGCAAGGTCCTGAGTTTGATCCCTGGTGCCAAAAAAAAAGTGGAACCAAGCTGGGCATGGTAGTGCATGCCTGTAATCCCAGCACTCAGGAGGCTGAGGCAGGATCACCTCAAATTCAAGGCCACCTTGGGCTATGTAGTGAGTTTAAGCGTAGCCTGAACTACCTAGTGAGACCCTGTCTCAAAACAAACAAACAAACAAAAAAGAGTGGAGTCCTTGGGAAATAGGTTTAGTTATTTATAAAAGAAGTTGAAGGGAGCTGCCTTGCCCCTTTTGCCCATAAGAAGCCACAGCAGTAAAGCACCATCTTTGAAGCAGAGAACAAGCACTCAACAGACACTGGATCTGTTGGTACCTTGATGTTGAACTTTACAGCTTCTAGAATTATGGGCAGTGAATTTCTGTTGTTTTATTTGGTTGGTTGGTTGGTTGGTTGGTTGGTTTGGTCTGTTTGTTTGTTTGTTTGTTTGAGTTTTTTTGGTACCAGAGATCGAACTCAGGACCTTGTGCTTTCAAGGCAGGTGTGGTGCCACTGAGCTAAATCCCAGGCCCAGTTTGGTTTTTTCAGACAGGATCTTGTTATGTTGTTCAGACTGGCCTCGAACTCACTATGTACCCCAGGCTGTCCTCAAACTCAGAGTGATCCTCCTGCCTTAGCCTCCTGAGTTCTGGGATTATATCTTTGCACCACCACACCCAGTTTGGGGGGGTTACTGGGGATCAAACCCAGTGTGGTCACACTGAGCTATATCCCAGCCTGTCTCTTTCTTTTACTTCCTTCCTTTCTTTCTTTTTTTTTTTTTTTTTTTTTTTTGGTACCGGGGATCAAACTCAGGACCTTGCCCTTACAAGGCAGGCATGGTGCCACTGAGCTAAATCCCCAGCCCTCTTTCTTTTTTTTTAAACAGAGACTGGCTCTAAGTCACTAAATTGCCCCGTCTGGGCTTGAACTTGGGATCCTTCTATCTCAGCCTCCCAGAGTGCTGGGATTATAAGCGTGTGCCACCATGCCCAACTCTGTTTTTTATAAATTACCCAGACTGAGGTTTTTGTTTTTGTTTTTAGCAGGAGCCCCAGTGGAGTAAAAAACCCTGGCTGAGAACCATCTTCTCAGAGGTACTAGCTCTGAGCTCGAGACTTCTCAGATGCTGAAGGCAGTGTGTAAATTTGGTCCTAAGTAGAAAATGGCCTCAAGCAATATAAAGGTGGGATGTGAAACCCAGTGATCAGAGTGTGTGGGGAAGGTCTCTGTTTCCCTCTATCACTCCAGGAATTGAGCAAAAGTAAGTTTAAATTAGTAAACAACAACAAAGCTCTCTCTCCCTTACATCTCTGATGGACAGCTTCTAGCTTCCCTCTTCCACTCCCCAGAAGAACAAAAGCTCAGAAGGGTAGAGAGCCTGAAGAATGATCTTCAACCCAGCCACCATCAGTCAAACCAAAGGGAATCACAGCACCCACCCCAGAGCCCTGCTAGACAGAGATTTATATGACCATTTTGGCCTTCTTCAACAAGCAGAATGTGTTGAGCCTATCATTTCTCCTCTGATCAGCCTTTCTCAATTAATCTCCCACAAGCTGGACACCCTGTTATGTGGATACATTCCCAGCATCAGAAATTGGCTCCCTGCTCTCTCTGGATGGGCCTAGAATGTCAAGTGAGGGAGCAGGAACCCTAGCTGTCTGTCCCACCACTGTATTGTCCTGCTTCCTCTTCTCTGTCCACCCAGCTCTCACCATATACCTCAAACCTGCCTTCCAGGACTCATTCACTTGAACACGCATCTGTTGGCTGTAGAGGTGAAGCTATGAAACAGCCCTGCTGGAGTCTCACCCTCCAAGAGGTCAGAGTAAAATGAGAGATACCAAAATATAAACAAACAGCCCAGCGGGTAGCATTTTACAGAAATATTAATAAACACAGTGGACCCTTAACTTACGAGCTCAATTTGTTCACAAGGGCTGGTTGTAACTCAAGTTGGTCAGTGAAGGCTCAGTCTCCTCTACACAATCTTCAAAGTCTCTCCTGTATACAGGCAGATCTCAATGTCCTTAGACAGACATTGGCCCAGGATTTCTCAGTTAATGCCACACAGGAAAGAATGTTGTAATGTTCCTTCCAGAATTCTTTAAAGGTTAAATCTGTATCTGAGACTATCTGGAAGCACAAGTGGTCAGCATTTGGGTCATAACTCAAGACTTTGGTCGTAAGTTAAAACTAAAACTCTGGTCAGAACCCAAGTTATTCATATGTCAGGCCGGTCATAACTTGAGGGTCCACTATAGCCCTAAAAGTAAGCCCATTCAGTTCATACTACTGCCTTTCCAAGCCCCTTTTGTAAAGACCTCTCACATTTCATCAACTGTTTGCTCCAGGTGCCCCTGTGAGGCAAGTGGGGCATATTTTGTCTCAACTTCACAGATAAACAAAAACTCTTCTCTCTGAGCTCTTCAGAACTGTGCTGTCCAATATGGTAGACATTAGCCACCTGCAGCTATTGGCTGCCATATTGGGCAGCAATAATCATAGAGCATTTCCATCATTGCAGAAAGCTCTGTTGGACAACAGCACTTTAGAGGTCCTAAAAGGCAGTGCAAGGGCAGGAGTGTTCCCAGAAAAGCTAAGTTGAGCAGCCAATATGGAAGAAGCAGGAAGCTAAGGGCCATTCCAGAGGAGACCAAGAGGAAGTTCTCAACTTCTGAATCAAAGCCCTCCACTGCCTGGGCTGTACTCAGA